CTTTTCCTGCCATAGCTTATCCTTCAACATTATTGCTACTCCTTCTTTAGCTCTGACTCTATTTGAAACCCGTGACCTAATCCCATTTATTCCTCTCCATTGAAACTCTCCCACCCCCTTCAGCTTTGTTTCACTTAAAGCCAGGACATCCAGCTTCTTCTCATTCATAACATCCACATGTACAAGCATATATATATACACACCCCTCTGGGTTTTCTTCTATTTTCTTTCTAGTTCTTGCTCTTGTTTATTTCCTCTTATCTCCATGGGGAAGTGGAACAGAATTCTTCCTCTGTAAGCCATGCGTGTTGTAAGAGGCGACTGAAATGCCCGGAGCAAGGGGCTAGTAACCCCTTCTGTAAAAATTACTAAATTTAAAAAGGGAAACTTTCGTTTTTCTTTTTGGGCCTCCCTGCCTCGGTGGGATACGGCCAGTTTGTTGAAAAAAAAAAAAACTGCAGTCCTTTCACACGTTTATTTCTGAGTACAAAATACTGGTGTGAAAGGTAAGGTATGGCATGGGTTCCACACTGCATCTGCGCTGCTGGCAGTTTCAAGGTCCTCTTGGATAAAGGGAGGAACTTGCGGCCCTCCCATGTCTTCTAGTAACTGCCCCTTTCTTTTTTTTTTTCTTCCCTTTTTTTTTTCCTAAAATAATAAGAAAGAAGTGCCACCATCATGGAGTCTGTTCCGTGATCCCCCCCCTCCTCCTCCCAGGCCTCTCTTTGTTACCACATCCTGTTCTGACCCAGCTGTGCCTCTGCCTCTTGCATGCCTTTAACTATGTGTCCAGCTTTCCCAAATACGATGCAACAGCTTTCGGATCGCCCACGTGCCTCAGGTCGGGTTGTGCGCAGTCCTACGCCTAAACGTTCCAGACCATTTGTTGACGACGGTTCTTCGATTTCTTCTCATTCCACCCAGAAACAACCTTCATGAAACCCACTTCCTTTACGCACCATGTTTACAAGTACATAGTGGACCAAATTCTTTTCCCTACAGCCAACATCTCCAACTGATTATCTTTCAGACCATAGTATTGGTAAAGCTCTTTTACGACACATTGGCCAAAATATATCCTTTCACGCTAAAAATATATCCTTTCACGCTATTCGGAGCGGTATGTGCAAAGTTACAGTTCAGATTGCAGAACAAGCACATTATCTCTCCCATCTTACTTCCATTGATAACGTTCCTGTCACAGTTCATAAGCACGCTACTCACAATTCTTGCAGTGGTACAATGGTTTTACCACGTACCATTGTACAGTGTGATTTTCTGTCTTGCAGTGATGATATTTTAGAGCAATTAGCCCTACAGGACTTTCCAATTCTCAAAGTGGATACATGTGTCCTGCCCGCTCGCAGACAGAGGCGCTTTCCCAGTAACATCGCCTGCTTAACCTTTGACTGCCGTGAACTCCTGTCCTCCATTTATATCGCAGGCCATCGCCTAGGGGTCCATAAAGTGGTCCCCACACCCCAACAGTGTTGAAATTGCTGGCGCTATGGACATCCCAGGTATACTCCATCTGCAGTGGAGTGCCCGGTCTGCGGTCCCGCAAATCATGCCGATATATCTTGCAGTCTTCCCCCTACTTGTCTTAATTGCAATGAAACTCATCCTTATTTTACCCGCTGATGTCAGGTCTGACTTAATGAATGAGAAATCCATTGTCTTAAGGAGAGCAAAGGCCTTACTTTTGCTAAGGCTGTCTCTCAGCTCTGCCTTCAGGGGAATCTTCCTTATGCTCCTTATTCTTGAGTAGCTAGGAGACCTCCAACCTTGATGGTCCCCCTGCCTACCAGCTCCTCTGGTGCCATGTCTTCCAGGGCCACCTCTGTCTCTTAATTCTTTTGCAGTTTTAGCCTCTTAAACCCCCACCTCCTTACCTCTTCCTGTTTCTACTTCTTCAACTTGCCCTCTAGTTTCTCCTTCTGCGAGGCCTCGCACACCTGCACCTGTCACCTGCAAAGTTGAACCTGTCTTCTAAGCCAAAGTCTCTTTGCATTCCTCCAATGCTTACAATTCCCCAACAGCTCTTTTTGGCTTTAGTGCCCAGTTCTCATCCCCTTTCTAACTCTTACACAAAGGTGGAGGTTCACCCTTCCCTTGTGTGGCCCCCTCTTCTCCTGTTCCAGACTTATTCCCCAGTTCCCTTCCAGCCTCCTTCCTCTCCTGTTCCACCGCAGGTCTCTTCTGTCCCCACCGGTACATCTCTCCAGGTTCATACTCCCCTCCCCTCTCAGACCTCTGGTTCCCTCCATAGTCTCCCCGATCTCTACCTCACTTGTCTCTGAAGTTCTGCATCAGCCAGACTTGCCTTACCCATGGGTATCTCATGGAATGACACCCTATTCCTCTCTGTGAGGTTTGTCGGGCCCTTATTTCGGTTCTTCACTTTCTTGTGGATTGTCTGCTTTACCAGCGACCTCGCAGGATTTACTTCCACCACCTTACCGCTCTTACCTTATTTTCCCTGCTTGCAAACGGCCCTGCCTTTGACTTATGATCACTTTTTGACTTTGGAAATGAGTGATATCCTAAAAGAACAGTATGAGTCAGTGTTCAGCAACTCACTAAATGACAGCAAGGTAGAAAATGCAGAAATATTTTTCACTCCAGATTGCACAGACCAACTAACTGATATTAGTACAAATCCCATAGTTTTTGAAAAAGAAATAGAAAACATGCCCACTCACTCAGCACCTGGACCAGATTCATGGAATGCTCTGTTTATAAAGAAGTCCAAAGTACCACTAGTACGAGCCCTCAGTATTCTTTGGAGAAAGAGCCTAGATCTAGGTGCCTTAAAGAGTGCAGACATAGCTCCTTTACATAAGGGAGGTAGTAGAGTACTACCTAAAATTACAGACCAGTAGCCCTAACCTTGCACATCATAAAAATCTTCGAAAGAGTGATGAGACGGCAGATTACAAATTTCATGGAGCAGCACAACCAACATAACCTGAACCACCATGGTTTTAGAGCAGGATGATCGTGCCTGTCACAGCTGCTTAACCATTATAAGAGAATTACGGAGGCATTGGAAGACAACCAAAATGCAGATGTGATTTACACAGATTTTGCAAAGGCATTTGACAAATGTGATCATGGAGTGATAGCACACAAAATGAAGGCTATGGGCATTACAGGGAAGGTAGGCAGATGGATTTTCAGTTTCCTAACACAGAACACAAAAAGTAGTAGTGAACATGGCAAGATCCAGCATCAGTGAGGTCAAAAGCTCAGTGCCCCAAGGCACTGTCCTGGCACCTCTGCTGTTTCTCATCCTCATAGCAGACATAGACAAAAATACCTGGCACACATTTGTATCATCATTTGCAGATGACACTAAAATAAGCATGAAAGTCACTATGGTAGAGGACACTGAAAAAGTACAGGAAGACCTAAACAGGGTTTTCCAGCGGGCAGTGGAGAACAACATGACGTTCAGTGGTGATAAGTTCCAGCTGCTTAGGTATGGAAAGAATGAAGAACTCAAAAGGAACACTATATACAAAACTCAAGAGGGTCACCAAATAGAATGTAAGGAACACGTAAAAGACCTGGGAATAATTACATCAGCGGACCTTTCTTTTAAAGAACATAAGACAAAGATCATGACAACCAGGAAGATGACGGGGTGGGTATTGAGAACTTTCAAAACAAGGGGAATAATGCCGATGGTGACACTCTTCAAATCGCTAATGCTCCCTCGCTTAGAATATTGCTCAGTGCTGACGGCCCCGTTCAAAGCAGGAGAAATATCAGAGCTGGAACAAATACAGAGATCGTTTATGGCTCACATTGAGCCTGTAAAGCACCTAAGCTACTGGGAATGCCTGCAAGTCTTGAACATGTATTCATTGGAATGGAGGAGAGAGATATACATGTACCTGGAAAATACTCGAGGGCCTGGTCCCAAATCTGCACACTGCCATAACATACTGGAGGGAGAGAGATGGGGGAAGTGTAAAATAAACTCAGTGAGGAGCAGGGGTGCAGTGGGACAATAAGGGAACCCTGTATCAACATCCGAGGTCCCAGACCATTCAGCATCTTACCAGAAGATATCTGAAACATGGCTGGAACAAGTGTAGAAGCCTTCAAGAGGAAACTGGACAAGTATCTTCACCAGGTGCCAGATCAGCCAGGCTGTGATGGATATGTGGGGCAGTGGGCCTCCAGCCACAACAGCCTGGTTGACCAGGCAAGCACCAGACGAGCCTGGCCCATGGCCGGGCTCAGAGAGTAGATAAACTCTCGAAACACTTCAGCGGTATATCAAAGGGAGTTTGTCAGCAACTGCGTTACTATATGTACTTTGACACAGCCCCTAGCGTCCCTTCCAGCCCTTTTCTCCCCTCACCTCTGATCCCCTTCCAGCCCTTTTCTCCCCTCACCTCTGATCCCCTTCCAGCCCTTTTCTCCCCTCACCTCTGATCCCCTTCCAGCCCTTTTCTCCCCTCACCTCTGATCCCCTTCCAGCCCTTTTCTCCCCTCACCTCTGATCCCCTTCCAGCCCTTTTCTCCCCTCACCTCTGATCCCCTTCCAGCCCTTTTCTCCCCTCACCTCTGATCCCCTTCCAGCCCTTTTCTCCCCTCACCTCTGATCCTCTCTCCACCTAGCTGTTCATAGCCCCGGCACTATTTTCTGCCCCGCAGTGCTGCATGACCCTTGTCGGTTTAGTGCTTTATTTTATTATAATAATAATAATAGTAATGAGTACAAAATAATATCAGTTTAACTTTTATGAGAGAGAAACCAGTATTTTCCATGTGTAGTTTAAGTACAATAATATAATTTAATACATGAAGACATTGAAAATGTTTAGGAAGGATTTCATTGCTATCATGTCATGGTTAGGGAACATTCTTAGGAAACAAGGTGTTCAAGCTAGAGATTGATCTAAAATCACAATAAAATTATACAGTACCTAAATAATATGCAGTTTGTTGTACTAAATAATAATGCATGCTGTTTTTCCACCCTTCAGAAGACAGTGACGGAGAAATGATTGAAGAAGTGGTGGGTCCTCTTCCCAAGCCACAAGTTACTCTCTCAAAAAAAGACTATGGCAAGGTGAGGCTCTTTTTTTTTTTTTTTTTTTTCTTATAACCTGAACCTTTTTTTTTTTTCTTTTTTTAATGTCTGTAGTAAATACCTGGATTTACCTTGGACATACAAGCAAAATAAATAACAGTAAGAGCTAGAATTGCAATTTAGCATTGGAACATGGTTTATTGGAGACGGGGGCTTTTTGAGAGCAGTTCTTTTCATGAAAAAATAGTGAGCTTTGTCAGTGACTTGGTCTACACAGGCTGGGACTTCCCATGCCAGAGTGGCTACAGAGATGGTGCTTCTCCAGTGTTTACCATGCATGGGAACCCATAAACTTTTGTTTCCAACGTGTTGTGGCCAATCATTGGGCCACACACTTATATGGCAAGTAGCTAGACAGAATGGGTTGTTCATTACTGGACCAGCTTCATTAATTGGCTGGTTATAGAACATTTGACTGTGGTTGAGCATACAGCAAGGGCATGATCACATGGTGAACTGCCCTTGTAAAACTGCCAGTTTAGACTAATGTCTACATTAACATCAGTCAGCATATCCATCTTAATTTGATATGTGAATCTGTTATCCTCCTACACCCAGTTTCTACTTCAGTCCTTTGAGAATTGTAATTAGAAGCTTTTACATCCAGCCTTTACTCAAAGACATGCCATTATAAAATTAGAGAAGTTTTCTCTCCCCTGTGGAATTTCTGAATGTATACAAGAACTGAAAAACTTTCCTTTGACTGCTGTAACTTTGCTGTCGTTGGCTATTTAACTAATCACTAATTATTGGTCATGGAGTTCCTCCTGAACTTTGTGTTTTATGTTTAGCTGCTCACCATAGAAGTGTGTGGCCTAATGATTGGCCAAAACATGTTGGAAACAAAAGATTATTATATTCATCTAGCATCTAACTTTTCTCTTTCCCCCTTGGAAGGTTCTGACAGTTTGAGTCTGTTCTTCCCTATTGCCGTGCACAAAAGCTCAAATACCTACAGCTGCTTATCACTCCCTGTTTCTTAACCACTTCAGGTCTCATTCTCATACTGTTGCAGTTTATACTGATGGCTCTAAATCCTCTTGACAGTGTCGGGTGTGCAGCAGTGTTCCCAGACAGTGTTGTACGAGGTCATTCATTAGACTCCACTATCATTTTCACAGCTGAGCTGTATACAATTCTCATAGCAATTATAAGTATTATGTCCAGGCCTACCTCAACATTTGTGATAGTTTCAGACTCCTTTAGTGCTCTGCAGGCTATCAAAAAATTTAATTTGCATCATCCCTCAACTTTAGTTGTGCTGCATTTCAAACAGTAATGAAGACATTATTATCTGCTGGGTCCCTGGTCATGTGGATGCTCAGGGCAGCAAGCAGGTGGACTCTGCAGTACAGTCAGTGGTACATGACCTTCATGTTTCATATAAGGGTATTCCATTCTCAGACTGTTTTGCTATCATCTCTAACTACCTTCACAGTTGTTGGCAACAACATTAGTCTGAGTCGCTTCATAACAAAATAAAAGTCGACCATCACTAATCTGGCATCATTGGGACCTGTAGAGTGCCAGATTAGTGATTTTGCCAGATCATAGAGTGGTTAGGCTAGAATACACTTTTTTTTTTTTTTTTCAACAAGTCGGCCATCTCCCACCAAGGCAGAGTGACCCAAAAAAGAAAGAAAATCCCCAGAAAGAAAATACTTTCATCATCATTCAACACTTTCACCACACTCACACATATCACTGTTTTTGCAGAGGTGCTCAGAATACAACAGTTTAGAAGCATATACATATAAAGATACACAACATACCCCTCCAAACTGCCAATATCTCAAACCCCTCCTTTAACGTGCAGGCATTGTACTTCCCATTTCCAGGACTCAAGTCCGACTATATGAAAATAACCGGTTTCCCTGAATCCCTTCACTAAATATTACCCTGCTCACACTCCAACAGATCATCAGGTCCCAAGTACCATTCGTCTCCATTCACTCCTATCTAACACGCTCACGCACACTTGCTGGAAGTCCAAGCCCCTAGCCCACAAAACCTCCTTTACCCCCTCTCTCCAACCCTTTCGAGGACGACCCCTACCCCGCCTGCCTTCCCCTATAGATTTATAAGCTTTCCATGTCATTCTACTTTGATCCATTCTCTCTAAATGACCAAACCACCTCAACAACCTCTCTTCTGCCCTCTGACTAATACTTTTATTAACTCCACACCTTTTCCTAATTTCCACACTCCGAATTTTCTACATAACATTTACACCACACATTGCCCTTAAACAGGACATCTTCACTGCCTCCAACCGTCTCCTCACTGCTGTATTTACCACCCAAGCTTCACACCCATATAAGAGTGTTGGTACTACTATACTTTCATACATTCCCTTCTTTGCCTCCATAGATAACGTTTTTTGACTCCACATATACCTCAACGCACCACTCATCTTTTTTCCCTCATCAATTAATATTATAATAAAAAAGAAGCACTAAACCACGAGGGTTATACAGCGCAGCAGGGCAGGGAAGGATGCAGGGGTAATGGGTAGCAAGAGGGAAAGGGATGATTATGAAGTGCAGCGGGGTAGTGGACAGTGCAGGGGTAGAGGGTAGCTAGAGATTAAGGTGGAAAGGACTCAGGAGAGTGCTAGAGATATCATCATCAAAGTTTGTGTAGTAAATCAGTTGCTGTCAGAAACTCAGTGAGAGAGTCTGGATTAAAGGAGGGTCCATCAGCAAGAAGAGAAGGTAAAGAAAGGGCAGCGGAGCAGAGACGACATTGGACGTAAATTCTGCATGCTCGTTGATGGTGGGCAGTCCAATAGAATGTGGCTAACAGATACTGGAACTTGACAATTCTCACAGAGAGGAACAGCACGCCTCTCCATGAGATACCCGTGAGTAAGATGAGTCTGGCTGATGCGAAGATGGGAGAGAGTAGTCTCCCAACCTCGACACTGATGACAAGAAGATGGCCAGAAACCTATACTCGGTTTAACAGAATGAAGTTTGTTATGGAGCAGATCAGATCAACGTTGTTGCCAATGGGTGCGAAGATGGGTAGCAATTACAGCAAAATAGTCCGTGAATGGAACACCTCTGTATGAAACTGGGAGGTCGTGTATGGCTGACCTAGCAGCAGTGTCTGCCTGTTCATTGCCCTGTATGTCAACATGACCAGGGACCCAACAAAAAACAATATCTCTGTGTTTGTTAGAGATACGGCGTAACCAAAGTTGGATACGAAAAACTAGGGGGTGAGGTGTATCTGATTTCTGTATAGCTACAATATGGTGTACGGCAGTATAGTTTTGTGCAGGTATTTATACCTCTGCAAAAGCAGTGATAATGTGTGAGTGTGGTGAAAGTGTTGAATGATGATGAAAGTATTTTCTTTTTGGGGATTTTCTTTCTTTTTTGGGTCACCCTGCCTCGGTGGGAGACGGCCGACTTGTTGAAAAAAAAAAAAATTATACTACAATGTAGTATTAAGTTATGTATGAACTTTAGGTATTTTAATTGTGAAGTGTTAAGATTTAGGTAACTGAGAGATCTTAATTTAGGTATTGAGTATTTAACAGTATTTAGTTTAGGGTGAGAAGATGGTTTTTGAGGAGTCTTAAATTGATGCTCAAACCGGGTTACTTTAGTATTTACTGGTAATGAGTTCCAAATTTTGGGGCCCTTTATGTGCATACAGTTCTTATATAGTGTGATGTTCCCGTGTGTCCACAGCACACTATGTAAGAACTCTATGCACATAAAGGGCCCCAAAATTTGGAACTCATTACCAGTAAATACTAAAGTAACCCAGTCTGAACATCAATTTAAGACTCTTCTCAAAAACCATCTTCTCACCCTAAACTAAATATTAAATACTCAATACTTAAATTAAGATCTCCCAGTTACCTAAATCTTAACACTTCAAAATTTAAATACCCAAAGTTCATACATAACTAATACTTACTACATTGTAGTATAAATACCTGCACAAAACTATACTGCCTTAATTCTTATACTGTAAGCTACTTTCACCAATGCTCAATATTATATTCTAATAATATAACTTAAATATTTACTAGTATTGATATACACAACCTACAAAAAACCTTCAAATTGTCCCAATGTAATATCCCCAGATTGTAACTTGAGTTAACTTACTGTCTGCTTAAATAAAAACAGATGTACTACAAACTATGATCAATTTCTCTAGTATTAAGTAGTCTGTAAGCCATTAATTTAGTCTGCCCATAATGCCGTGGCATGATAGTGGCTCTCTTTGCACTGCAACTCATTATTGTAACTACAGAATCTCAATGTAAACTTGCAAAGAAATAAAAATTGTATTGTATAGCCTGTAAAGCACTAAGGGAGCCTGAAACGACCACAAATGGTGACACAGGCATAGATGCAATATGGATAAGTGCTGCAAGAATGGCATACAATTCAGCCATAAAAATGCTAGCCGAGGGTAATAAATGCCCTCGCACGACACTGTCTGGAAACACTGCTGCAAAGCTGATGCCATCAGAAGACTTAGAACCATCGGTGTACACTGCGATGGCATGGGAATGAGAGCGGAAGTGGTCAGGAAAAAGAGAGCAGGAAGCCACCATAGGTAGTTGGGCTTTTGCGCAGGGCAGTGGGAAAGAACAGACATGAACAGCTGGAACTTCCCAAGGGAACAGGGAAAAGTGAGATGCTATATGAACATGGAGAAGTGGTAACTGAAAAGAAAACAAGAGCGAATGTAGGCAGAGAGAAAAGGGACGGAGAAAACGGGCGACAAACAAATAAAGAACGTCTACTAACATCAGTGACTATCCTACATAAGGAAGGATTGTAGAGGTCATGAGATCGAACATAATAGCAAAGGCAATGAGCATCACGGCGATCAGACAAGGATGGAAAATTAGTTCTGCAAAGAAGCTCTCAACGGGATGAACGAAAGGCACAGAGACCTTGGTGATGTATAGGATCTAACTTAGACAGAGTTGCGGGAGAGGTTGCAGA